CCTAAGTTTTATTTATATTTTAACTTTTACGGTCTAGCCTAAGAAAAGATTACTTTCTAGTTTACAAAGATATTTTTTCTTGTTCACAACTTATACATTAATAAATTAATTTTATGTGTTTAATTAATTATTTCCATAAGAAAAGATTGTTAAATTCCGAAAATGCCGGAGTTTCTAAGTCACTTTTTTTAAAAGTGTTTGGCAAATCGTCTGATATTGTTATGTGGAACAAAGTATCATGTAAGTGCATCAACTACAATCGTATACAGTGGCAGTGAATTGTATAAGGTCCACCTAAACGAAACAGTTAATAAATTATACATTTCCCATAAAAAAATATATTTTAGTATGAAAATAGAAAAAAAAAACTTATAATCTGAGACATGGATGTATGGGTTAGATGTTTCTTACTTTAATTTAATAACAACAACCAAAGTTCCCTATACTTTATGTCTACTTATACTATGCTTAAGTATTTTGTTGTGTCTAAGGTTTACGATGTGTGCACATTTCACTTTAGTACGGCTCGGGTTTTTGTTTGCAAAGTTTTCCTAAAATTATATTTCAGTTGGGAAATAGGCAAACAAGAATAAGTTTGTTAATTCAAAAAGTTTAGGTTTTACTTGTATAAAACTATATGACCTTTTTAAATATTGCTTAGCTACAAAATAACTTACAATTATGATTTTTTTATAACTTTACAACGCAATCAGCTTACAATATGAAATAAAGAAACATTGTTTGTAGAATGCATTATTGTGTTAGTTCTACAAGAACTAAGAAATAATTAATCGTATCACAAATAGACCGCCTGGGTCACCTCTGTGGCAAGGAATGAATGAGTTTTAAATTAAATCTAAGAGTTCCTGAGGGACACGGGAAAATTGAATCCGCTTAGCTATGCTGATTCCAGCGTAACAGGGACATTTAAATTAAGTTCCGTCGTAATCACTTTGTGTAATACTATTATTGTTTACCACTTAATTATTATAAATAGGTAGTATGTCGGAAAAATGTACGCTACATGATTTTGTCTTTGCGAAGTCGAAGCAGATCGATTGTATAATAATAACATTGCATAAATTCAAGTTCAGTAGACATAAGGAAGCCCGAAATAACGAAATTACTAAAACCGTATCCACTACTACGAGAAACTAATAAGACATGCTAATTCTTTACGTTGCTTGGAAATTTATCTTTATGCCAAGCCTTATTATTTTCCTTCAATTGTTTCCAATTACATAAATATTTTATTGTCTTCTTTGAAATAGTTTTATTTATTAGCCTCTCTATTCCTCATCTCACTTCGAAATACATGTCAAACTTGTAACCATTTTGTTATTTACGTATTGCCTCTATCTTATTACTTCCCTATACAAATATAGTTATTTCTTTGCTTTTCCAGGATAGGTGCTATTCACAAGTAGCCTTTAGTATCAAAAACAATGGAATTTCAGTCGAGCACAATAGTCAATTTTTACAGCGTCTTCGTAAAGGGAACAAAGATTTCCAATACAAAAAATTACATTATTCTCGATACGTAACCGATTCGCAATCGATGACTATGACTGTTCGTGCTAAGGGTACACATTTCTTCTAATGTATACTCATCCTTCACTTATTCAAATTCAATGGCAAATTTAGTGTTTTTTAACCTTTTTGAGAATTGATTTATTAAATAGAACACTGTTTAAAACAAAGACAATTTAAAGTAAAGATACTCAATGCCTATAGCGATCTGTTTCAAACCAGGCTAAGTTAATATAAAAGTTGAAAGACACTTTGAAACTTTTCGTGGAGAAATTAAGGTTAATCTCTGAGAACTTTTAAGGTTCTTTCGATGTTTTAGAACTTTTTTATTTACTTAATAATTTATTTATCTTATAGAAAAAAAATTTCACTAAGTATTCTGCACGAGACTTCAGCCGTTGTCTTAGGTTTGTGCCTTGTCGACTTTCACAAGTGCTCTGTAAAAGCCTAAACTGAATAAATAAATTTTGATTTTGATTTGATTTGTCTTGAGTACACGAGTTATTCTGAATTGCAATGTAAGTATTAATGTGAATGCAAAAATCAAATATTATAATTACTGGTAATTTTTAGGTTTCTTTTACAATACCAGCTGTACTGACAGAAGTGTTTGTTATATTAGTATTTTAAAACTAAAACTAATTACGTTAATTACCATAGTTAATAAAGAGTCAAATCGGGTCAGCAAGTTTACAACAGTAACTCCATCGCCACTATAGAGTGCCAATCCCAAGTCTGGATAAAGGAGGAGAGTTGGTTATTGATATAATGAATCGTAAAATAGCCAACACCGAGTCTCGGAGGCTAAAAAACCCGTCGAATTGATTACAGAAATCATGGGATATTAAATTACCCCTAAAATAACTGATTCGCCGTTTGCAATTGTGGCGAAAATCTCTTTGGTACAATATGGAAAGCTGAGATAAAAAATGCTCCATTAAAAATAAAATATGACCTATTTCTCCGCCATTGTCACCTGGTAGTGACGGAGCAATAAGCCATTGAAACCGTCAAGCACCTGACCTTCGGCTACTAAGTGATGTTTACCATACCAAAATACTTTAACATACCAAATTATCAAGCTTCCAAAAACTCTTGCACAATTTTGTCACGATCTCTTAGACTATAAGTTTAGGTTACGTTAGTTTAAAAAGTTAGAATGCTTACTGCGGTGACATAAACAGAATGTGATTTTCGATTAATTTTAAAAGTTTATTCTCTACGTTTAATTAAATGTACTTTAGTTCTCAGTACTATATTCAATTACAAGACGATTTATTATACAAATAGCATACACAAATTAACCTTATTAACATATTGGAATGTAAATTATAGTGGAATATTGGCGGAGGCGTTATACAAGGTTTTGAAGTACTGTACATGGGCCTAGTGAGAATTTTCGTTTTATCCCTTCCCCTTATCCCAGTTCATATAAGGCCGGGCCTCCTTGTGCATTGGTACCAGGAAATTTTATCCCGAGTCTTAGTGAGGTAGGTCTTACTGCGTTTAATAATTTTATTAAGCTCTATATTTGTTTATTACAGATAGCGAAATAATTGCATATTTAAGCTGTAAACACTACAGCAATAAAAAACATGTTGAAATTGTTTTTATGGTAACAAAGGAGTCTTATCACTAAGACTCCGCTGTCCGTCTGTATGTCACCAGGCTGAATCTCATGAGCTAGACAATGTTGAAAATGTTGATGTATTTCTGTTGCCGCTATTAAAATCAAAAACAGAATAAAATAAATACATAAGAAAGAGACATAAAAAACGTGATTTTTTTGCGTAGATCCGAGGATCCGTGAGCCCGACTCGCACTTAGGGTCAACATATCTCTGAATTTTTGGACTTTTCTCCAGATAGCAGTCGCATTTTGTAAATATCAGGATTTTAAAGATATTTTATAATATTTTAAAAGTCTCTTTTATAAAAAGTTGTACAAACTACAATATTCGTCCTAACTTAACATTGTGCTAGGAGTGAGTGAGAACCCCCGAGGTTTGCAGTGTATAAAAATTATAATAATTTGACTTCTTTTATTGTTAAATTTGTTTAAGAGAAAAAAAATTAAATAACAACAAAATCTTAGGATTTTTCATTGGAAATCAGGCCTTTCCTCCGGACTTTTGCTTTTTTCATCTTTTGCACTTAGCTGTTTTTTTCTTAAAAAAATCTATCTTCTTATTTTGATAATATTTGTTAGTCTATCCACGACTACAATATTCAGTTTAGTGTATTTTAAAATTAAATAATTGGTTATAGTTTAGAACATCATGAAACATATGTGACACGTGCGCCCTATAACTGTTGACCGGGTCAACGATCCATCGACGGGATGCCACAGCGGAGTATCCCCTGACACCACTCTATATTGCATCCTGATTGGATCTTCATAATAACACAATCTATTGAGAAACATATTACGTTGACGCGATGTCGTGTTGTTGTTATACAAGATAATTTAATGTATTGTATATATAGTTAACATTAACAAGATTAAAGTTTGTATTTAAAATGTTAACTAAATGCTTGAAATAAGATCTGGTCTTACTAACTTTTGGAGTGCATTTTTAGAAAATTTATTTATTTTAAAGTAGCTCGGTGGCGTAGTGGATAAGCGCCGCGGTCCGCGATCGTAGTCGTTAAGCAACTTTCGCAAGGGTCGGTCACGGGTGGGTGACCAAAAAAAAAATTATTATCTCGAGTTACTCCGTGCTTCGGAAGGCACGTTAAGCCGTTGCTCCCGGCTGCATTTGCAGTCGTTAATACCCTTCAATCCACATTGGGCCAGCGTGGAGGGTCATGGCCCATCCTCTTTAACCATCCATAAGGAAGGCCTGAGCCCCTGTAGTGGGTACGTAATAGGGCTGGAATGATGATGATGATGATTAATTATATATTATTTTATTTCCATTTCCGTATCAAGTGAGTTTAATTTTAAAAAGTTTTGGAATTGAATAAATATATTGCACGTAAAAGAGTTTATAGCATCCCACTTCAACTAAGCTTCAGTTCTAAATTTCGAACCCCTATAAAACTATGTGAATAGACATAAGTATCCACGTGTTTCCAAAATTAAGGATCTTGACAGATACACAATGATTTTTATAGAAAAATATTACAATTTAAACTATAGATTAAATAATTAGGCTTGATAAATCCATTTAGCTTACAAAACCCTATAAAAAATATGGCAAAAAGAGCACAAAGTGTCATCACTTGTTTTTATTAGTATTTATGGCTTAATATATCCACGTTGGAACCAATGTCCTTCAGAGTTGAACAAACTATTAACGTGCTTACCTATTGTGTTTTGTCAATTTGCGACATCGAAAAAACCGAAACGGAACAAATACGTCGTCTAAGGATAACCATTTGTCTTCCTTATCCCAAACGAGACGTTTAAAAGAGTTCAAGCCATAAAAAAGAATCGACAAAAGCTTACTCGTTCGTTTTTTGTTTCAGGTTAGAGAAAAAAGAAAAATGGTGACGTCATAGCGCGACCACAACCCGCGCGAGCAACAATGTGAACTATGAACAGATTTAGTGCTGCCCTCACATGATTTCTATAAACAACTTCACACACTCAACGACTAATACTAGCACACCTATACACTACGATAACCAAGCGTTCGTTTATAATAGCGAAAATGACAGTTACCAGAAGACAAATGACAATCTATTTGAATATGACTACGATTCGAATGGCACGTTCGAAAATTCAAATTTCACGAATTCGAGCTTCGAAATGTCGAATGGCAATTACTCCGAGTATGCTGAGATCCCGTATTACATAAAGGCTACGTCTATGACATTTTGTATAGCTATCATGTGTTTGGGTGTAATAGGAAACGTTATGGTGCCAATAGTGATATTAAAGACTAAGGACATGAGAAATTCGACCAACATTTTCTTGGTTAACTTGAGCATAGCGGACTTGATGGTGCTTTTGGTTTGCACGCCGACTGTTTTAGTGGAAGTTAATTCGAAGCCTGATACTTGGGTGCTGGGAAAAGAACTGTGTAAGTAAAAAGTAATTAATTCTTTATATGTTACGTTGTAACTGTTTTGTTAAATTTTAAGGTAAAAATATGTAGCTAAAACACTATATGAAATAAGCAAAACTATCCGTGGGTTTCAACATGTGCACGGGGGCTGGGTGTGGAGCACTCACTGATCCTAAACCCTTCCTCCAAAGGAAAGAGGGAGTACAGATTGCATTTAGTGGGTATGCCATTTGCGTTTTGATTAGCCTTCGGGGGGACCCGTGAGGATGGAGAGTTCCATACGCCCCCTGCTGCGTGTCAAGCGACGGGGACTATACCCAAAGAATACCTACAGTATAAAACCAGCCAAGTACGGAATAGTCTTGTGCACGAAGGGTTTTCTTGCATTATCCATAAAAATCACATTTGTTGAATGGGAGCCCCCGTAAATATCTATTTTACTAGATTTTTTAGTATTTATTGTTATAGCAGCCACAGACATACATCATCTATCTAACTATCACGGTTTATGAGAAACAGCCTATTGATAGACGGACATACAGACGGATGGACAGCGAAGTTGGAACCCTAATAAAGATTTGAATACATGAAAAGAACGCTAGATGAAAAAATACAATACAAGCATACAACGCAAAAGTGGAAGAATGTAGAAAAAGGGGAAGACTTAGCACGTGTTATGATTAAATTTGATCGCGTGCTATCTGAAAGTGATGTCAGAAGTCTTAAAAACTAGCGAGCATATGTAAAATGTTATGAATGTCAAGGAAGCGAGGGACGTGTCTGAGGGCCGTGTTTTGTGAAGCTCGGTTCTCTCTGCCTATTCCCCAAGAGATCTGATGTGAAGATATAGATAAAAAACATTTCTAAGTGAAATGGAATGCTGTGTAACTGGTGCGTCGATATATGCACAAACAAATAATGTAATTTCTTCGATAGTTTTTAGGGAGCATTGCTTCTAAGAAATCATGGTTTTCAAAATTCAAACAGGCACACTAAAATGAATCGATAAAACCTTTATACCGAGTCTAGTAATATTTTACACAATAATCAAAATACTGGCGAGAATACGTATAAAACTTTGGCGACCATAAAAGTAGAAGTGAAATTTTCCACATTCTAAATACAACTAACTAACTGCACACTAATGTTACTAGTGCCTAAATAAAGTGATATTTTGAAGTAGTTACATACAGCCAAAAGTGTAAACAGGACACCACAAGAGCTCTTGAGTATCTAATTAATATGAAAGTAAAAAGACAGTGGCAACAATTTGACTAATTAACGATTTGAATTCTATAAAAGCAACGGATAAAAGGCTTATTGATTTAAGCGTAATTTTTATAGTTAGGAATAACCAAATTTTACCGATTCCAAATATTTATCCATTGCAATAAAACCAAAAAATGTCGGTTAAACCAATTAGAGTTTTACCACTCGAAATGATATTTAAATTTTACTGTTTTACCTCGAATATTTTCTATCGTTTCTTTTTAAACCTTACTCACACAGTGAGGGGCCATTTTAAAAATAATAATAGGCGATTGACAGTTGAGCAATTTTCAAATGCTGTGAGTTCTAACGAATAGTAAAATAAAAATGATATATTAGAGCGTTTTGTACATTTTAGTATTCGTATATTAAAAAAATGTTTGGTTAAACATATGCATATTCCAAAACACATTACTCATTTAATAAAACTTTTTTGAAATGCTCCAACACATTTTACTTGTTTTGTTAAGTATATTTTGGCTGAGTTTAAAACATTTTTCCAATACAGAATAGAAAGTTATTATGAGCAATGATGTATCAAAAAGTTTAGATGGGTTATCTGCGCACACTTTTGACAACAAAAAAGCAAGGCAATTGCCTGAGTTTCGCTTTAGTCACGTTTCAGCAAGCATTGTGGCTTATGACATTTTCACTCGTAATTTTCTGTGAAAAGTTATAGAAAAAATTATAATGATAAAACGTCATTGAACACGGCCATTTTTTTGTTTATCCTTTTCTATATAGATGCAGCAGTTGACACGTAAAGCTATACAAGTATTTTTATCTCATTCTAACAATAGGTGTGCTGAAAATTCTGATAGGGAGATAACTATTTTTGATTTCTTCGCGTCCTTTGTAGTTGTATTATTATATAACTCTACCACAATCTCTTTTCTGTGTTTTGTGACCACAATAAAGTTTACATACAAAACGCAATAACGTACGGGTATGACGTGACTAATAATAAAACGATGTGTGTTTTTTAAATTAGTATATTATCACATTTGGTCGCAATGAGCTATGTGCTGGTTGTCACATTTGGCGATCTCTGTAGCCGGTTCAAGGTCGGTTTCAAGGTGTCGCCATCTCGGAGGTCTTGGGTTCGATTTTCGGTCGGGTCGATGTAGAAAATCGACTCTGCTATATTGTCTCGGGTCTAGGTGTTTTGGTACCTTTGATGTCTAAGATACAATAAGAGGACTTTAGCTACTCATCTTGGAATCTGAGCAATGTATGTGATGTTTTGTGATATTTATTATTCAAACAAATTAAAAAAAAACCACATTAGTATATGAATTAAAACCTCTCTAGTTTCAGTCTTTCTTTTTTCAAAGAAACGTTAACTATATTTTTGTATTTCCACTCAATAACAAAATGACATTTTTCACTTTCACTAGACACGCGAAGTAAGTTTTCAAGTAAATCATTTAGCAGTTATGTTTCGCGGTTGAAATTAAAAACAGTTCTCGTGTTAGGAAGCAATTTGCCTCCCTAATAGGACCGTTTAAGCCTCTTTGGGACACAAATTATTTAGCCGCTTCGAAGCAATAATGAGGTTAAATTAGGTATTAGAATCTCCGTTGTAGGTACCTTCCATTCATATATATGATGGGTTTCTTTGCGAAATCTAAGTAATTTAGAGTATAGTTCATCATTGGGTTGAGATTGCGGTTGGTAGTTTTCTTGAAAAATTATAAAGTCAAATACAGGCCAGATAATGAAAGAAATAAAAGGACGACCTATTGTATAAAAAAGAGCAAGCAGAAATTAAATTTCTAAATCTCTTCCTTCTCTTTATAGTGACTTATATTTGAAACTGTTCCTTATAATCAAAGAACATAATAACGAAAAGAAAAAGATTGAATTGTGAATTTTAGAGGTTTGTTCCGACCGTGAATCAAATCAGGACATTTGGAGGTCTTTTTAGAATAATGTTGTTTTAACATTTTTAATTTTAGATTTATTTGAATTAATTACAAAATCAATTACAAATTAGTGATTTTTAGCTAAAGAGTCTTAAACTCTTCTGATTTTACTGGCCGGGAATTGAACCCGAGTCCTTGGATATAGTGACGTCATTAAACTGGCAAGCGCATACCCTTGAAATTTGTCTTGTTTTAGTAATAAATCAAGTTATATGGAACTGATTTATTTGTATTTCCACTTAGAAGTTTCATTGACTTCATGTGTGTCTTGGTTTTAGCAATATTTATAACTATATTTACTATATTCTTTTGAAGCAATTTTGTTAATGGTATGTATCCCCCTATTAATGTCAATACATATTATATCAGTGAGCGGTATATCATGAACAAAACTCCATAAAAAAATAATCACAAAGAGATTGCTCAAATTTACTTTTTAAGATTCCGTCCATCCGTTGTCTGCGGTTTAGCTCAAAAACTATTGGTACTAGAAAGTTGTAATTTGGCATGAGTGTACACGTTAATAATGCCGACAAAGTGGTAAAGTAAAATTTCGAAAAAAATAAAACAACCACAACCTCTCCTACATGTACAGTGGGTTTTTTTTATCGTCTTCCCCATTGTGTGGCGAATCGTTGGATAGGTCTTTTAAAAAATTGGCCTATGGGGGGGCCTTATTTCGATTTAGTAAACCGTTTGTGACTTATTATGCTCTCTCTACCAACTAAACAGTCGTTGGTAAAATTTCAAATGTTGGGGCAGTAGTAACTATATATAGTGAAGTTAAAAGGAAAACTATCACACATAAATTGATTTATAAAATAATGAGTAATTGTCGACCTTTTGTATTTATTTCGAAATCCATATAGAAGTACATAGAAATCAACCAACATGGTTTTAATCGATAAAAGTGCGGTTCGTGAGCGAGTCCGACATGTCCTTCGTGAGTGAGCAAACTCGAGCTTGGCTTTTTTAACATTTCTTGATGTAATTATAATGTAGGCCTCATAAAATAGTTTTTACGCTGAAAGCTTTCTTTTAACAGCTTTTTCTGTAATGATAAATGTGATAAAACTAAGAGCTCCGCTTAAGGTGCTGTATGCCGAAGATATTAGTTCAAGAGCAGATGCTCATTAAATAGATAATGTATTACTAATTTTCCGCCCGCAGCGACTTCGCCCGCTTCTTCCTACATTATAGTAACCAGAAACCTTCCTCTTGAATAATTCTGTATATTGATAAAAATAGTAGTAATATCCCTTTTGAAGTTTAATAGTCATGTAGGGTCGATATGCCTGTTTGATAACTTTACGACCATAATAGTTGATTGTTATAATGTAGTTTATCTTTTACGAAGTTGTAATGTTTATTGAAAAAGGCCGTATAGCTTACCTACAATTGACAAAATATGTTTATTGCTGCAGTTTTATAATTGCCGCAAGTGAAGTTTCCCATTCCGCGACCATATATTGTACTCATTATCGCAACACAATTTTACAGTTAATACCATTTCTGCTTACCAAATAATGCTTTCAAATTATTTTTAAATTACGCACCTTTTTCATATTACCGAAATGATATATGGTGAGAGATTCATGATCATTTACTGCGTGGGTAATTGCAACAGTGATAATTCAAAAAATATCAGCAATTTTAATTCATGTATATGACAAAAATAAACTGTAAATATCTTCAAATTATAGAATTGCTAAAATTACTGCAATCTGATATATACACAACGAGAATAGATTTGTTTGTTTGAATCATATAGGTTCCGGAACTATTGGACTAATTTGTAAAATTTTTTCACTTAGAGCTACG